CCCCAAGCCTAGACTCTCTCAGAACTCAGGGTGGAGACAGCCCATGACAAAACAGTGGGTTTTCACTGGTATTGTCCACAGGCCACTTCACCAAAATGTCACCATCGTACCGTGTCATTCCTTATTTTATTATTGGATTTTGGGTGTTGTTTTTTGTTTTTTGTTTTTTTGTTTTTTTGTTTTTTAATTTTGTTTTGTTCGATTTCAAGCAGTGGGATTTGCAGAGATTACTCATTCAAAGAAAGAACTTTTTTTTTTTTTTTTTTTTCTATTTTGGTCAAATCGTGGCTTGGGTTTCCTCAGAATGAGAAGCTTCCTCCTACTCCCTTGCGAGGTGGTTCTCAGTACCCACTCAGAGCTGGGCACTGAGGCTTCGTATCCCAAAGCCCCCTGGCAAAGTGGGGAGCCTCGGTTCTGAACACTGCTAGCCAGGATGATGAAGGGCTCCCAGGAGATTTGAAGGTTTTCAGATCTAGTGCAGAACTGGGGGTTTTTAGAGTGATCAATGTCATCCTGATCAGCTGAGTGGCCACTCCTGAAGCGCTCCAGTGGGAACCCAGCTGTCACCACCCAGTCGCCCTCCGGTGGCTCCACTCCTTTAGGATGAAATCCACACACCTCGCTGTGGCCTAAAAGGCCCTGCACCAGCCTTGGCTGGCCATCATCCCTGTCTCTCAGTCACAGCGTGCTGACTCCCCACACTCCTGGGGAGCCCGAGCTCCTCCCTGCCCCATCACCTGCACTTACCCCCACCCATGGGGATGCTGCTCCCTCTGCCCTCCTGTGCCTGGCTCAGCTCCAGGGTCACAAGCTCAGAACAACCTTCCCCAAGTACTTGGCCACTCTCCATTACATTGACTGTTTTAATTCCTTGTGACAATTATCTTTAGTGGACACTATCTGGTCTGTTTCACGCCCCTCTAGCACCACAGGTCCACGTTTGCCTTGTTCATCACTGAATCCCAGAGCAGACCAGGTGGCCACACACACAGCAGGCACTCCGTACACACCTGCCGGTGAAAGCACAGATGAATGAATGAATGAACGAACTTAAGATCCTCCTTTTAACACCTGAGTCTCATCCAAACTCTGCACAGCAGACATTACTGTGTTCCTGCTTCATGATGAAGGTAGTGGGCTCAGAGACAGGCCCCGTTACCCCAAGGTCACTCATCTAGTTATTCAGTGCTATGTCACAAACCTCCTCAAGCCTTCCAACCAGCAAGGACACATCCTATCCCTCAGATCTGGAGCTGGTCTCACCTATGGCCACTCAAGTGGCTGTACCCACAGGTTGGGTTGGTACAGTCATTGGGAAGATCTGCTAAGACAGTTGGAACAGCCGAGCATCTGTCTCCTGGAGGTTTTCCTGCCCATCGTCTCCATGGACACTGCTCTGAGAGGGGCAGCCGGAACACCATGGTCTCTTGGGGCCTGACCTCAGAAGTTGCACAGTGTTGCTGCTTTGGGTCAAAGCAAGCCACAGGGCCCAGCCAGATCCCAGGGGCATCACTTAGTCTCCACCCTTGGGCAGGGGGCAGCTGTCCCATTGCAAAGGAGCTTGAGCTGAATTGTCACAGTCGCCTTGGGAAATCTGACAGTCAGGGAGTGCTGGAAGCAGCCTGAGCCTGCGGCTAGGTGAGGCAGACCCAGGGACCAGGACCATCCAGCAGGACTGGATGACTCCAGGAACTCTCAGGATCACAACCAAGCTCACAGCACACATCTGCTGGGGCTGGCCGGAGCCCAGCCCCTGGCCACAGGATCAAGCCCAGCCCCACCGGTGTCCACAGAACCTCCCCCCATCTGCTTTCTTGAGGCCCCTCCTCTGCATCGACTTATACCTTCTGCTCTTGGTACCTCAGTGTGCAGCTGTGCCAGATAGATGAGCGTCCTCTAGTACCCAGGCCTTGTGCCCCTGGGTGCTTTTCCTGTGCTGTTTCCTCGGCCTCTGGAGCCTTCTTCTTTCTCCATCTTGTGAAATGCTATGTTCTATTATGATCTGGCTATGATATACAGTGGTCCCTCTGTATCAGCAGGGGATTGGTTCCGGGACCCTTCCCCACACCTCAATCCAGGGATGCCCGAATCCCTTCTCCAACATGCCATGGCGTTCACCCAAAACCCACACAACCCTCCTGTGTATGTGAAGTCATGCTACATGGCTGTGATACCTGATACTGTGACAGTGCTATGGGAATAACTGTCGTGCCATACTGTTTGTGGAATAATGACAAGGAAAGGTCTTTATTTGCTCAGAACAGATGTAATTTTTTCCTCCTAATATTACCCTGCAGTTGATCAAATTGTCAGTTGCAGAAACTGCAAATGAGGAGACCCAACTGTAAGCTCTTCTCCGAAGACAATTTTCTTTTCCTCTCACAGGGTCAACCAACCTTTCCTTTTTCTAAAACCCTTAATTATAGCATTTATTCATTCACTCATTGTTAGTCAGCTTTCCATTGCTGTGACAAATACCCAAGAAAATCTCCAAAGGAGGAGGAAAGGTTGATTTTGGCTCACAGTCTAAAAGGTTTCTGTCCATGGTGGGCTGGAGCCAAGGCAGAGACATCATGGTGGCAGGTGCAGCAGAGAAGAGCCGCTCAGCTCACAGCATCTGGGAAGCAAAGAGAGAGGTCAGGGAGGCAGGCCAGGGACAGTACCCAAGGGAATGCCCCTACAGAGCCATACACTTCAACTAGGTCCCATCTCTAACATCTTCCCCCATCTCCCAATTGTCCACTCCAACATCCATCAATGGATCAGTCCACTGGTGAGGGCAGAGCCCTCACAGTCCAGTCACTTCCCACAGCCCCACTCTGAACATGGCTGCATGGTGGACAAGCCATCAACACAAGAGCCTCTGGGAGATGTTCTGGATCCAGGCCATATCACTCATCCAGCAAACACTGTCTGGCTGTGGGGAGACACAGGAACCACGCTGACAGGGCCCCTGATCCTTCACCAGCGAGGTCCTGGTGAGGTAAATCAGACAGTAAGCATGTAGATAAGTGAAGAGACAATAGTTTTAGACAGTGACAGATCTTTCCATTACAGTGAAAAAGGATGCCATAAAAACCACCAGCAAAGTGTGACTTCATTAGATAAGGCGGCCAGAGGTGACCTCTCCGAGAAGGCAGCATTCAAACAGCCACGGGAAGCAGGAAGAGCACTCCAGGCAGAAAGTCCAGCTGGCACACGGCCTGTGGTCTGTCCAGTATGGGCTGTCCCAGGAACACAGAGGACGCCATTGCCGTTGAGGCCGACTGTGCAATCAGCTTTCTGATGGTGTAGCAAATACCAGAGGAAAAACAACTTAAAAGGAGAGGAGGCTTGTTTTGGCTCAGGGTTTCAGTCCATGGTCAGCTGGCTTGTTTTTGAGCCAGTTAAGGAGGCAGAACATCACGGTGGAGAGGGCATGGTGGGGCAGAGAAGCTCACCTCATGGCAGCTTGGAGCAGAGGGAGAAAGAGTCAGAACAAGAAGCCGGGAGAGGCCAAGGACAAGAAGAATTCCTCAAGGGCATGTCCCCAAGGACCTACTTCCTCCAACTACACCTAAGGCCTAAGGTGTTTACTACCTCCCAGTAGTGCCACTGGTTGGGGGACAAACCTTCAACACATGAGCCTTTGGGGGACATTCCTGATGTAAATTATAACACACGGAGAGAAGCAGTGAGTGCAGAGACAAGAGGACCAAAGGAGGGTTTGGTAATCTTGGGGAGGGGCTCTCCTGGCAACTGGAAGGAGCTAGATTTCATTCTGATTACAACAGGAAGTGATGGGAGGGGTGGAAGCCAAGCAGTAGAGACACATCTGATTTACACTATGCAGAAGCCTTGCCTGCTTGTGAACTGCAGGTGGGCAAGAGAAGAGACCGGAAGACCCACTTGGAGGCTCTTCATTCATTCCATGACGTGTGACTTGGACGTGCTGCAACAAGAGCCTCCTTCCCTGGACACTGTGGGCTCAGAGCTCTAGGGGACTGTGTGTGGCCCTTAGTCTATGCATTTCAATCCTGCACAGTGCTGGGTCACATGGTGACTGAGTGGCTACAGGTGGCACACCAAGATGCAGATGCATGTCTACAATTTATATCCAGCTGAAGCTTCTCGGTTTGCTTTTCTTCGCCAAGCTTCTGCAGAATCTCCCCACCCACATATCAGATTCACTAAGCAACCAGGGGTTGCCCATCTGACCATCTGTCACCCCTACAGTGGGCTGCTGCCCTGGGCCTGGCACAGCACCCTGGCTGTCCTGCTGACAGGCTCCCCTCACTGAGGTCTGTGTTAGCACCATGGCCTTCACATCCTGACATGTAGGTCATGGGTGCTCCCACCCGAGCCTCCCACTTTCTCACCTGGAAAGTGGGTGTTATTTTACCTACCCCCAAATTCCCTCTTCCCAAGACTCACCTCCTTACTTTCCCATGCACCCTTCCATCAGAACAAATCCACGGGAGAGTTTTTGGTGTTTTCACGGAGTTTCCTTTAATAACACTTGGACTCATTGACTTTTATGTGCCCATTATCCTCTTGCCCTTTATATTTTAAACCTCAGAATTACCCTGGCCTTTCCATCAAACTAGTGTTTTTCTCCCTCCAGCATCTGGGACCCGAGCAACTAAGGTAAGGGGTGCAACTGATCTCTGGGCCTAGGGCCCAGTCCCTGTCCACCAGACCAGTGTCTGCACAGGTGGACGCAGGTCTCAGGCCAGGGTGTAGCCCTGGGTGCAGGGCATGTCCCAGTGCAGTGGTGGGGAGTGGGCAGGAGCCAAGAGAAGAAGCGAGAGCTTTCAAGGCGGTGTGACGGCAGGAACCAAGAAGGGAGCGACACGCAGGGCGCACAGAAGGAGGTCCACGAGAAAGGAGCGAAGCCCAGGTGGGCGCGCTGGAAGCGGGCAGCGGAGCACGTGCGTGCGTGTGCGCGGCGGCGGGAGCGAGCGGGAGGGGGAGGCGCGCCCGCGGGAGGCGCGCCGGGGGCGGGACGAGGAAGTGGGTGCGAGGCGCGGGGTGCGGGCTGTGCGCGCCGCCCGCTCCCTCCTGTCCCCGAGCGTAGCGGCGGTGCGGGGCCCAGGCCGTGCCGATCCGCCCCGCGCAGCTCCAGGTAAGGTGGCGAGGCTGCCCGCGGGCCTGACTCGCCGAGGGTCGCGGGGGGCGGGGTGGCGCTGGGCGGGGCGGGCGCTGGGGCCGCCTTGGGCTGCGGCTCCCGGTCCCCGCGGCTGTCGTGGCCCCAACTCTAGCAGTGCTCGACCTTGGGTAAGTGCCTCCTGCGCCCTGGAGTCTCATTTTCCGTCTCTGACCCTCGGGGATCCTGGCCGCACCGGGTCGTCGCGAGCCAGGGGCACAGCCTGGGATCCGGCACAGCAGGGGATGCGGGTCAGTTCTGTCTTGCTACCGCCCGCGCAGGGGTAGATTTGGAAAGTCCACTTGCGTGGAAAGTCTCTGTTTTGTCCCCGGTCTGGGCGGTGGGTGGTATTTTCCCGGGGCGATGTGTCTGTGGAAGCACGGATCGACTCTGCTCTAGAAATGCCAGCGGAGGGCCCCCGGCTGGCGGGAGGGGACCTCCTAGTTTCTCAGGAATCAGAGCACTGGCCTTGGTCCTCCCGGGCTGCTTTGCCAAAGCCTGGTAGCCAGTGGGACAGCGTTCAGTCGGGCGGGACTCCTCCCAGGGCATCTGGAGAGGGATTCCCCTGTGAGAAGAGGCGGGCAAGTGGCTTCCCCTCCAATTCTTCTGGGCCCCTTAAGAATCCCAATGACCTTGAGCCTGTGAGCCTCAGTTTCCTCCCCAGTGACAAGCTCCGTGTTAACGCCCCGCTTGAGGTGGTTGTGAGGATAAGGAGGTGGGGCTGGAAAGTGCTTGTGAGCTGTGGTGTCCCTGGGTGGCATCTGTCACCAAACTTAAGTGACCCTAGAGTCCTCACATCTCCAGGGAACTCATTTGTATGCACCAGGTCCTCTTTGTCTCCCTTGCCAGAGATAATAAAGGGGTAGAGCTAGTGGTCACCCAGTTAAGCCTGAAGCAGGACCAGGGAATGGGGTCCCAGGACCTCACTCCCACCCCATTCTTGCCCAGGGGCTCATGCTTCTGTAAGGCAGGACATCGCTCAGATGACAGTTTTTGTCAATAGTTGCCTTCTTTCTTTTTTTTTTTAATTTTTTTTTTAGTTGTAGATGGACATAAACCTTTATTTTATTTATTTGTTTTTATGTGGTGCTGAGGATTGAACCCCGTGCCTCATGCGTGCTAGGCAGGTGCTCTACCACTAAGTTACACCCCCAGCCCATAGTTGCCTTATTCTAAGAGGAAGTCATGAATTCCTGTCTTTAATGAGCTCCTCATCACTGGAGTTTATCAAAGGTAATTGAATATGTTACATTTCTTGACATACATGTTGCTGGGGTAGAAGAGGAATTAGAAATCATGAGAAAATAACTTTTCTGAAACACCTGCTCTGTGCAGCTTGGTGCAAGGTGTGTTATGTGTATGGTATTGGCTATAATCATCACAGCAACCCTGGGAAACTAGTGACGTTGAACCCCAACTTACAGATGAAGAAACTGAGGCTCCTGGAAGTAAGTGACTTCCACATGGTTTCATTGCTAGAAAATTCCCGCAGTGGGATTGGACCCCTGTCTGCCTGCCTCCGGGGTGTTTCTCATGTTACCATGCTGGCCCCCAAAGAGGACTAGTAAAATTCATAGTACAGGGCCTGGCCCCTGCGTGCACCTGATCAGCGTTGGTTTCTTTTGCATTTGTAGGAGGAAGAGCTGCCACATATGTGGTCACTGGCAAAGGTGAGCCTGAAGGCTGGCAGTGGGCCGCAGGTTCATCTGCCCAGGGATTTCTTTAGGGTTCTGGAAGGAAGGAAGGCTGCTATTCAGTACCGCGTAGGAAGCCGATGTCAGGCTGACAGGCCATGTTTTTCCTTCCTCCCTTGTCCTTGTTCCAGGTAACATGGGTCCATTAGTCTCAGCCTAGATTGGTTTCCCTGGGGTCACTAGCATGCGCTTTCTGCTCCCTGACCTAGGCTGATGACTAAGGATGTGGCTCTCCCATCCGACATGTCCATGGGGAAAAAGGGCCAGCTGTGGTCCTTCTCCACCAACACCCCAAGGAAGGAAAAGCAGGATTAAGGTCCAATCCCAAGAATTTTGCTTATTCTTGGGAAAGAAGAAAAAAGATGATGGGAGAAAGGCTATCTCAGCAAGCCAGGGAGGCTCCTTTGCCAAAAATGTTTTAAAAGAAGAGTACATCCAGACGAAGTGATGGGGATACAAACAAAGGCTCTTTCAGTTGCCAAGCTACTCATCCACAATCACAGAGTGCCTGTAATGCCCGACAATAGGGACAGCCATGGGCTACTAAAACTGGAGAGTTTTCAATGAATAGGAGCGTGCTTATGCATTGGCATACATATAACATGGTCCCCCCATATTGTGGCAAGAGTTTAGACAAAAGACAGGAAGGAAATCGGCTGAAGCTTAATGGTGTTTGCCTGTAGGCGTTAGGATTATGGGAGATTTGTTCCCTGGGCTTTGCAGGTTGGATTCAATGAACATGCGCTTTAATGATTAGCAGACATAGACCTGTCTGCTGCTAGTGCTGAGGTCTTGGTGGGAGAAGGAAGGGGGGGCTTGCACAAATGAAGGTGCTGTATGGTTCTATACAATGGGCACCCATTTTCTGAGGGCCTCCAGGTCTATCGTGGAGACCAAATTGTTCCGAGGGTGTTTGCCAGATTGAAATATTCACCGTCCTCTTATCTCTTATCTGGTTTCCTCTAATTCTGATGCATACTTTATCCCATTGTCAGTTTGATAATAGAGATCTGAGACTGTTTCTCCCCTGCTCAAAACTAATCCGAGGCTCCCCGTTCCCCAGTGGGTCAGGTGCAAAGTCCTTATAGCATACATGGCCACCATAGCCCAGTCTCTGCCCTTGTTCCCTCCAGCTACCAGCTGTGGGATTGAACCTCTGTCTGCCTGCACTTCACTGGTCTATCTGCAGAGGTCTGTACCCAGCGTGCTCGTACGTACCTCCCAGGCTCCCCCAGGTATCTCCTCTCACCCACAGCGCCCTTCTTTGCTCAGTGGTCTTCCTCCTCCTCCTTTAACATCCTATTCAGATCTGCTCCCCAGGGTCCCCACAGGTTTACATCTCTGTGCTGTAGAGGTGAATAAAGGGCTCCATGGTGACCTTGAAGAGCTCAGCTCTGTGCCGGGTACTGGGGCCCAAAGGTCCCTAAGGTGCTGACAGTCAGGTGGATGGAGAGTGACGTGGGCAGGGTCCTTAGACCTTGGCTCAAGGTGTTTACAAAACTGAGAGACCTCAGAGGCTGCAGACAGTCCCAGAGTGATAGCTGGAGTGGTTCTGCAGGGAGGAGCAGAGACTCCCCAAGGGGGAAGCTAGAACAAGGGTTCTCAAGTGGGGGCCACTTTGTCAACACCTGGAGGTGTTTTGGATTGTCATGATGGGGAGGAGTGTGCTGGCATTTTGGAGGCAGGGAGGCTGCTAGGCATTCTACAAGGCACATGGAAGAAGGAGCCCTGTCCAAGATGGCCCTGGTGCTGAGCTTCAGAGCCTGGGTTAGAAGAGAGGGCCTTCCTGGCCTGAGGTCGGCATGTACTGGGAAACCACAGGTATTCACTAAGTGCTTCCTCTGCTGGGCACTTTGGTCCTGCTTCCAGAATCTCTGTCCCCATCAGCAACCAGGGTGGTCTCTTTTTTAAATCATAACAGGTTTATAGAGATGCTCTACTGTAAAATCCACCCTTTTAAACTGTGCAGGTCAGTGTTTTAGCATCTTCACAGAGGTGGGCAACCATCACTGCCATCTGATTTCTGAACATTTTCCTGTGACTGTGAGGAGCCACCCTCCCGGTCCCCACTCCCACCCAGCCACTGATCTATCTCTGTAGATTCATCTCTTCTAGACATTTTGTGCCGATGGACTCATATGACATGTGGCCTTTTGTTAGTGGCCTCTTACCCCAGCATGATGTTTTCAAGGCACATCCGCGTCAGGGCACATAGCCCTGCATGCTTCCTGTGGCTGACCGTATTACATTGCAGGGGTCACTCAGTCCACACCTTATTATCCTTTCATCAGCTGTCAGGATTTGGAGGTGTTTTCACTTTTTATGTTGCTGCAAACACTTATGCACAGGACTTTGGGGGGATATATACATTCATTTTTCTTGGGCTCATACCCACGGGTAGAAGTACCCACATGGTGAGTCCATTTCCTGCTCTGAGCAGCTGCTGGACTTGCTTCCACAGTGGCCACACCTTTTGCATTCCCAGCAGCCCTGCGTGGGGCCCTTCTCTGCCTCCTTGCCCTGCCTTGGCACTGTCTCCCACATGGTGGCCATCCTGGAGTGTGGGAAGTGGTACTTTTGTGGCTTTGGTTTGCATTTCCCTGGTGGCCAGTGAATTTCAGTGTTGTTTGGTGTGTTCATTGTTCAGTCCCTTCTCTGGAGAACTGTCTGTTCAGAGTCACCTTCTAAACTCCCTGGTGTCGTTCCCTGACTTAAACTGAAATGCGAACTCCACAGAAGTCTAGAAGGCCCTGCCCCATCAGGCACTGCCCTTGATGGTGGCTCTGAGTCTGTGCTGGCCACCAGTCTTCCCAAGCTCATCCCTGTTCAGTCCTTTGCTTTCTGTTTCCTCTGTCCAGCACTCCTTTCGCACAGCAGCTCTAGGCTCAGCCTCTTGGAGGCCCCTCTGGCCTCCCAATCTCAAGGGCCTCCCCTCAGATCTTCTCTAGCATGCGTCAGAGTATCCTTTGATCCTTTTTCCTACCTGATAAGACCTTGAATACTGGTCTCCAGGCATGGCCATCCCTTCCTTTCCCTGTGGGACCATGGGCAAGCTGCTTCCCCTCTCTGGACCTCAACTGTCCCATCTGAAAACCACAGGGGCCATGATGGCTGATCCAAAAGGGACTTTCCAACTCTGCCTGGTTTGACGCTGCATGACAGCCCAGCCAGGAGGGCACAGGCCTGGACTGCCACAGTGAGAAGAGGGTGGCTGGCACCTAAGTTGGTCACGCATTGGACCAGGCAGCATGGCCAATTGTTGCCAGCCCCAGGGGACAGTCTCTA